ACCTACTGTGACAAACACGTATCATCACAGAAGTGTATTTTTTTGTAGTGATAGATAATGGTGGATGATTCCAACCAATCAATCCCACTTGAAGTTACACTTGAACTTTCAACAAAGTTCATCATTCTATGAAGCCACACACATTCATGTAATGCCTCATACTCCCTCCATTTCAAAATATAAGGTGTATTGATTTCCATGTAATTCAAACTTGTGTATATTTGACCAAGATCATAGAAAAAAATACCGCTATCTACAATATAGAATAAATAAAATATGAAAAATACTTTTCTTGATGGATCTAATGATACAAATTTGGTAATATAGATATTGATACTTTTTTCTAAAAACTTGGTCAAACTTGCACAAGTTTGGCTTTTGAAAAAGCTAGTACCCTTATTGATGGTGTCCTGGACTAGGGGGTACCAACCTAGTTGGCCCACAGTCCATGGGCAGAAGCCTATGGCCCATCATTCTCATAAGGAAGGACTCCGGGAGCCTTGCACTTCGACGTGATCAAGATGGATTCTGCTGTAGACTTGACGTGTACTCCAAGGACAGCATCGACCGCCAGCATGTGTATTCCTAGATGGGAAATCGAGCATGTGTAACCCTAGGTACCCCCAACGTCTATACAAGCGGAGGGGTTTAGTCCATAGAGACCACGGTCACAATTACAAACACCTAGCCTTAGTGTTAGAACACAACTTATGATCTCGAGGTAGATCAATCTTGTACTTGCTACATCATCAATTCGTCATCAATACAATCAAAGCATGACATAGGGTATTATCTCATTGAGAGGGCCCAAACCTGGGTAAATATTGCCCCCTTCGTCTCTGGTTACCCACAGATCCGACACATCCATAGCTCGGGACCCCCTACCCTGAGGTCTGCCAATTTTAGTACCGACATTGGTGCTTTCATTGAGAGTTCCGCTGTGTGATCAAAAAAGATCGATGACTCATCTGCAGATCAACTGCGCACTAGTTGTGGTGACATATTCGTCCAAACACGCATGGATCATTTCTACTCCCTCATAGTCTATGTTTTTAGGATGTTCATCGTCTTTGCTTTGGCGGTGATGATGACGACGCTGAATAAAGATTCTTCGGATCCTTCCCCGACGAGGCCATTTGTTCTTTGGTTTGGGATGGATTTGGAAACCAATATGTTCAAGCAAGGATGGCATGGCAGCAACATCCTCGCGGTGAATCTGTGTCCTCGGGCTCCGCCATTGCGACGACGTTTTCTCCAACGCTAGCGTGGAGCTTGGGAGATAGTCCAAGAGCGGATGCAGATTGTGGTCTGCATTGATGACATCCGGAAGATGGAAAGCTGGGCTCGTGGTTCATGGATGGCAGGTATGGTTTCCTCCTTCGACGTCTTAGTCATGGTGGGGTGCCAGATTTGGAGTTCGATGGCATGTCCGAGGTGTTGCCCCAGTCTGGTTCGTTCAATTGCAAGTGCTTCACTTTTGGTGAGCCATCTTGGAGGTCCACGAAGCTGGATATCAGCGATGGAGCCGCGTCGATCTCGGGTGAGGAGTTGATTCGTCATTCTTTTCTTCGGTGGCTGCTGCGGTGGTGCCGGAGGCAGGTGATGGGCGTTGCTATCAAGTTAAGAGATGTTGTGCTATGTTTTTCAGTTTTGTCATGTCGGTCTTTACGTGACTTGTAGTTTGATCTTTATGATATGAATGAGACACGTATTATCATGCAAAAAAGAAGAAGAATAAAAAACAAACACACCCTTAGATGCAAGCAAAGGTGGCCAAATGGGCCGGTCCTGGCATGCTGGCCTGATAATCCGCGTGCCCGACGCCCGACATGTTTATAATCGGGCCATGTCGGCACGTGATACGTCTCCAACGTATCTATAATTTTTATTGTTCCATGCTATTATATTACCTGTTTTGGATGTTTATGGGATTTACTTTACACTTTTATATCATTTTTGGGACTAACCTACTAACCGGAGGCCCAGCCCGTATTGCTGTTTTTTTGCCTATTTGAGTATTTCGAAGAAAAGGAATATCAAACGGAGTCCAAATGGAATGAAACCTTCGGGGGCGATCTTTTTGGAACAAACGTGATCCAAAGGACTTGACGTGCAAGTCAAGAAGCAATCGAGGAGGCCACGAGGGTGGAGGGCGCCCCCCCTACTGGGCGTGCCCCCTATCTCGTGGGCCCCTCGGGCATCCACCGACCTACTTCTTCCTCCTATATATACCCACGTACCCGGAGAACATCAAAGGCGACCACAAAAAACTATTTCCACCACTGTAACCTTCTGTATCCGCGAGATCTCATCTTGGAGCCTTCGCCGGCGCTCCACCGGAGGGGGAATCGATCACAGAGGGCCTCTACATCATCTCCAAGGCCTCTCCGATGAGTTGTGAGTAGTTTACCACGAACCTTTGGGTCCATAGTTATTAGCTAGATGGCTTCTTCTCTCTTTTTGGATCTCAATACCATGTTCTCCTTGATCTTCTTGGAGATCTATTCGATGTAACTATTTTTGCGGTGTGTTTGTCGAGATCCGATGAATTATGGGTTTATGATCAAGTTTATCTATGAGAAATATTTGAATCTCCTCTGAATTCTTTTATGTGTGATTAAGTTATCTTTGCAAGTCTCTTCGAATTATTAGTTTGGTTTGGCCTACTAGATTGATCTTTCTTGCAATGGGAGAAGTGCTTAGCTTTGGGTTCAATCTTGCGGTGTCCTTTCCCAGTGACATCAGGGGCAGCAAGGCACGTATTGTATTGTTGCCATCGAGGATAAAAAGATGGGGTTTATATCATATTGCATGAGTTTATCCCTCTACATCATGTCATCTTTCTTAATGCGTTACTCTGTTCTTTATGAACTTAATACTCTAGATGTATGCTGGATAGCGGTCGATGTGTGGAGTAATAGTAGTAGATGCAGGCAGGAGTCGATCTACTTGTCACGGACATGATGCCTATATACATGATCATGCCTAGATAATCTCATAATTATTCGCTTTTCTATCAATTGCTCGACAGTAATTTGTTCACCCACCGTAATACTTATGCTATCTTGAGAGAAGCCACTAGTAAAACCTATGGGCCCCGGGTCTATCTTTTATCATATAAGCTTTCAATCTACTTTCATTTGCATCTTTACTTTTCCAATCTATATTATAAAATACCAAAAATATATTTATCTTATCATATTATCTCTATCAGATCTCACTTCGCAAGTGGCCGTGAAGGGATTGACAACCCCTTTATTGCGTTGGTTGCGAGTTCTTATTTGTTTGTGTAGGTGCGTGGGACTTTTGAGGAGCCTCCTACTGGATTGATATCTTGGTTATCAAAAACTGAGGAAAATACTTACGCTACTATTGCTGCATCACCCTTTCCTCTTGAAGAAAAACCAACGCAAGCTCAAGACGTAGCAGAACGTGGCCCGAATATGCGCACGAGTGCCGGCACGGCACAACCCGTTTACTTTTTTCTTCAGATTTTTTATATATTAGCCCCCAAAACAGCCAAAATAGGCCCAAAATCAGGAATACTGGTGGGCTAATTGTGTCAGTGGGCCGGCCCGTCTCCTTGTTGTGTCGTGCCTGGCCCAGAGAGTGCTGGCCCGTGTATTAGGCGTTCCTGGGTGGGCCGTGGCGTGCCTGGTCCATTTAGTCCGGGCGGCGGCTGTAGCGGTACACACTGTGCTAGCCACCGCGCTGGCACATTGATCTGTAACAATAGCAATGTTAAAAAAACTACAAGCGTTGAAAAAACCATTTGTTCCTTCTAGTGCTTTTTCTTCAGTCCTATTATGTTCTTTTTTTTCTATTTTTCTTTGTTTTTCTTTTTAAATATTTTTTTACTTTTTCTTTGTAAGCTTTTCGAAAAGTTCAAATATGATTCAGAATTTTTAAAAATGTTCTTTTTGTCAAAAATTCTTCATATTTCTGAAATAGTGTTCACATTTACAAAATTTTGTTCACAATTTTCGAAAAATGTTCATGATTTTTTTGTTTGTTTGTTTAGATTTTCAAATTTTTTGTTCACATTTGAAATCTTTTTAAAATTAATTCAAAAAATGTTTGAGTTTCAAATCTTGTTCGCATTTTCAAAAAATGTTCATAATTCGAAATAATGTTCGCACTGCCAAATTTTGTTCAGAGTTACAAAAAATGTTCCCTTTCTCAAAAATTGTTCACAGATCCAAAGATATGTTCGCTTTCTTCAAATTTTGTTTCAAGTTTAAAAAAATGTTATAGTTTCCAATCTTGTTCGCATTTTCAAAAAATGATCAAAATTCGAAATAATGTTCGCATTGCCAAATTTTGTTCAGAGTAACAAAAAATGTTCCCTTTCCAAAAAATATGTTCACTTTCTTCAAATTTTGTTCCAAGTTTCAGAAAATGTTCTCTTTTTCTATTTTACGTATAAAATTTTATGAAATATTCTTTTTTTTCAAAATTTGTTCAACATTACAAAAAAACTTTGCTGTTTTTCAAAAATTTGTTCACAGGTCAAAAAATGTTCAACATTTTAAAATAATTATTCGCTATTTTTGGAATTGTCCGCGTTCAGAAAAAGATACAGGTTTTGAAAACGAACTGCGTTTTTCCTGGGAAAAAAAAGAATGAACTGCGTTCGAACTTCTCAAAAAGTTTAGATCGGTCGTGGATTATGTTCTTATAGTGTTTGCTGCTTAGTATTGGCCAGGAACGCTCAGTGTTGCAATGGTAGCGTACGCGGGTACTAATCGGGAGGTCTAGAGTTCGAATCTCCAGCCGCCTTCATTTTTTTGCGTTGTTTTTCACGTCAGTAACTGCTCCTTCGTGGGCCAGCCCAAACGAGGCACCCCCCTGTGCGAAGCCCCTCCAGTCTGCCGCAGAATGCGGCAGATAGGAGGTCCCGAAATCAACGGCCCTCCCAACCACGAACACGACACAGTCGGTAGCGGCGGCGCGATTGCAAGAGGGTCGGTCGACGGTTGATTCCCATCGATCGGAGAAAGATGATGGGTGCGGTTATGGAGAGATCCAACAACAAAAGAACCATGGCGGCCGATCCGATCAGTCGAGACGACCCCTTGGCCAAGAAGAAGAAGGTGGTGGATCTGGGGAGCGACAGCGACGAGGACTTGCCCAATCCGTCACAGTGGGCGGGGGTTAACCCTGATTCCTTCAGCGATGACTACTTGGCCAAGATGGAAAAGGCCAGACTCGACGAAGAATCAGGTATGAATATGATAGCGCGATCCCCGACCAACATCGATTTTTTCAGTTTACTAGTAATGGCGCAACTAGCCTTGCGTTGGCGCCCGCTAGCTGCCGGCGGGGTTGCAGCCTTGCAGGCGTCGCGCCGCGAGCTCTGATGCGGCGTGGCTCCCTGGCGGCCTCTGGGAGCGGATTGATCTGCCGTGGGGATGGCTTGTGGCGGGAGGCGGGCTGGTGGTGCGTCGTGTTGAGTTCGGGGGTCGCGACGACGGCGCGGGTGCGGCTGGGTGTGTCGGGCCAGTGCGCTGGGAAAGGTGGCGCTTTGCCTCTTCTCGGCTGCTGGCGGTCTTTGCGCTGGTGTCCTGGATCCGGCGGGCGTGGTGGATTGGATGGCTGCTGGTGGTTCCTGGCGGTTGGTGGTTCGGCTCTGTGTGCGAGGTGGTGGAGGCAGCTGTGCGGCGTGATGCGTCGCCTCCCCTCGGGGTGGTCGGCCTGATTGAGCAGCTCTGGAACTTTGGGTTTAGGATCTTGGGCTGGGCAAAATCCCTACTTCGTGACGCCGAGGCTAGCATGGTGACGTCCGTGGGCGCCGTCCCCTCCCTGGATGCATTGCTTTGGCCTGGATCCAACTCCCTCCATCGTGCTTAAGGGAAACCCTTGGTTCGGCCTTCGGACCAGGAGGCGGCGGCCTGGCATGGCGTCGTTCCCTCCTTGGAGGCGCCGTCTTGTTGCTCGAGGAGTCCCGGTGGCACGGCCCTTATTGGTGTCGGCTACTACTTTGGGCGTGGGCCTCCGAGGCGCAATGTACACCATCGTCGGAGCTCTCTCGATGACGACTCCTCTAGGTTTGCCCAGGCCCTGCCGTCCACTTGCTGACTTCCTCTTGACGCGGTAGGTGGGGTACGTTGGTCTGTGTTGTCCTTGAGTCTTGGTCTTGTTGTAGAGGTCTCCGACGTCGATCATGACATGCCTGGGTTGCTCTGTGGCTCGTCTCATCACCATTGGCATGAGGTTGGCCTAGGTGGAGCATGTATCGTAGTTCGTGTGATGGGTGTGGATTCTAATCCTTGTGATTGGCAGTGTAATGGCCGAAAGGCGTTGTATCCGGCTTCTTTGCCGCTTCTTCTTTAATATATGATACGTATGCTTATGCGCATTGTAGAAAAAGTAATAACGCAACTGTTCAATTAATTACCCTCGATATATATTTATGTTCTACTTCTGCCTGTAGCTCCCCGCCCTGTGAAAATTGCCACGCTCAACTACTACAAACCTGCCACCAGGTTTCACACCATCGAGCTTTTCCCCGTCCGTCGATCCGGAAGCAAGGCCGTGCTCCTCGCTGCGAAATTTCTTCTAGGGATTTCATCCCCTCTCGGTACTTTTATATGTATCCTTGTACCCTCTATGATTTGGATTAGTTGATCCGTCGTCTCGCAACTTAACATATATATTGTGTTTGAATCAGACAGATGGTGAACCGCTCAGACGGTGCTCTGGCTTCTGGGTCGATTGGGATGAGGAGAAGAAAACTGGCCTTGTTTTGACAACTGCGCGGCTGATTCGCATAAAGGATGCTCCTTACAGTGTCTGGTCAGGCGGTGAAGAGTATGCTACAGATGCTGATGTGAGTCAATGTGCTTCTTCTATTAATTTCTGTATATGCATGTACTATCTTTTACAGCTGGTTCCATCTCAAATAAATAAAATAATCTTGGTGTATTGCAATTCACATATTTTTTCTATGTGCTATTGGCCTTTTCTAATAACTAAATGGAAACAAAACACGCCTTCGCTTACCATTCAAAAATCGTATATAATCTGTTCTGCAACTTTGTTTAGGTCACTGTTCATTTGCTAAATGGCACCAGTGCAAAGGGCCAGCTGGTCTATCTCCAGCCCCACTACGATCTCGCTTTCCTGAGTGTTCAGATGGATCAACCAATCAACTTACCATCTTTGAATGAAAAAGATGTAGAATTTGCTCAAGAGGTTTTTCGGCTCGGAAGAGACAATTCCTTAAATCTAAGGATAACATATGCCAGGGCAGAATATTTGAATCCAACCATGTTTGAGCGGCACCACAATGTATACCTCCGTTCTCCAGATGGCCATGGTGATGATAATGAGGTGATATATCTTATCATTAGATAGAATTATATACATTTGGTACAGTTTTGAGTTTTGTGTGATGTCATCTTTATGTTCTATATTGCAATCTATTGTTATAACATTTTTTTGTTCTTGCAAACTTTCATATATGTTGCCAATATGAATTGTTGTAGTTTGACTATGGGGGGCCAGTTATTGACCTGTGTGGAGAAGTTGTCGGAATGGTCAACGACCCTAAGAGATTTGGGTCTTTTATACCTTCTTCCATTTTGCTCAATTGTTTGGATTCATGGAAGAAATATCAGTACGTTTTTTCTCTCAGTGCTGTGATAGTATTAGACTAATGTGGTGTCTCCTAATTGTTATTTTTACCTATTTTTAGGAGTCATTATTTTTAGTAGTATCTATTTCCTCACTTTTATGGAATTTAATTACCATAAGTTGTGTAAAGATTCTCAAAGAATATATATGTGTGTATATATATATATACTCATTTGTAAGAAAATCAAGAACTAGATCTTTGATGGGGCCTAGATAGGAAGAAACAAGTAGAACGGCGCTGAGAGTGCAAAATGTGTTACTTTTACGTAATACCAAATCCCCTCTATGAGTTTTTGTCAACTACTATGAACGATTCATCCCTGTTGGGCCTTTCTGAACTCTATTTGAATCAAAATATTTGATTATTATTGATTTTTCTAACACGTTAGATGGAAGCCTGGTTCCACCAAAGATATGTTGAAGGATTATCTGATTTGATGTAGGCACATCGCCCGGCCTCATCTTGGAATGATGTTTAAGGACATCAAACTTCTAGAACCTGCTCATGTTGACATGTTATGGCGTAAGTTTAACATTGATGATGGTCTTATTGTTGAAGAGGTAGGTAATGACTTCCTGAAAGTGCTCAATTTCTCATCTGTGTAAAGTTAATTATTGACGTTTGAACCTTAGGTGTCGGGAGGATCTCCTGCTGAGAAATTTGGAATCCAAAAAGGTGATATTATTGAATCTTTCAGTGGAAAGCCTGTTTCTTCCACAATTGAGGTGAGTGAATTAGAGATTTGTTAGGTAAACGAATTGAAAATAAATTTCATTTCTGTGATTTTAGTAGCTTCACGGTCTTGACTAGAATGTTTTCGTTTCCTGCAACTATCAGCTGGAAAATACACTGATGAGCATATACAAGGGAACCTTAGATGCTGAAGTTCATATTTCTGTAAGTTCATTTCTATATATGAGGGCGGTTTGCTTGATCCCGGCCATCCATTTATTTGTACCGAAGTATTATTAGCAAAATGCTAGCTCTAAGAGATGTGTTTGGCTAACTCCATAGGTTGGGGTGTTTCACACACTCGAAGAACAACGGAGCACTGTAGACTTAACTGCAAAATTATCAGAACTTGGAGAGGTTATTAAAAGAGGTACACATCTCCTCTTTTAACTTGCCCCATCTACAGATTATTATTTCAAATCTAGACATAATGTTATCGCTAAGTATGCAAGCTCATGTGCATTGTGCAATACACTCTTACATGACACACATGTGATGTCTAAAATATCACACCAAACCATACAGTATTATGATATTTTGCAAGTTTATTGTTTTGGTAAGTAGGTGGTGTGTAGCGAGTAAGGCCCCGTAAGCTCACTGGCTTCCCAAACGAGACAGCTTCTCGTGGAGCCAGCGCTAGCTAGCTTCTCCTGGAGCCAACGATCGTTCGGTAGCATTGCTGCAGCAGCTGCTTCTTCATGGGCTGTAGCGACAGAAAACGTTTCGTGAGGCACTTCGGAAGGGCACTCTCGTGTAATTTCTAGCAACTTCCACTTCTCGCTTTAGCGAAGCTACGCTTCCGCTGCTCCGAAAAATTGCACTGCGGGGTTCACGTTCTCCAGGAGCTGGCTTCTCGAAGCTAACTCTTTCGGGGTGGCTTCTCTCGGCTCCTTCGGGAAGCTGGCTCGTGGAGAGCTTCCGAAAGGAGCCTAAGTTGTAGAGAACAGACTTCATCCATGTTTTTTTTACCAAAGTGTTCATCTTCCATTTGTAGACTTGGAAGTTTTTGGAATTTTTGGAACAAGAGATGCATGTCTGGGTTTGTGGTGCTAACTTTGAGTTGTGTGACATTTTGCAAAGAATGTGGATTAAATATTGTTTGCACGCTTGCTCTCAGTTTTCTTTTTGGATATAGATACAAAACATTCGCCTTGAGAGAGGTGTTTTGCAAGCAAAAGTAGGCTTGGTTATTTGATACTCATGTTATGTTGTTATTTGTTACAGGTCCTACAGACTCTTGAACTGGCTGCCAGGTCGAGGGGGGATGTTTCTATAGTGTGGCCACATGTAGTACTATAGATATATTACAAATAACATCTTTATCTGTAATTTAGTGCCTAGGTCCTCCAAAGTAGCAGCTCTCCTTGTGGGATTTCCTATACTACAATTGAAACCCCTCTTAGTGCCCGAGGAAGCGTTGTTTGTTGCCTTATCTCATTTGGTGGTCAACAAGGCAAGTATCTTGGCTCTGCACATATGGCTATGCATGAGGGGACGAGACTTGCCTGCTCCCCGCGTGTGTGCCCATCCGTGCTCCCGCATACGTGGCATGATTTGATTGGAACAAAATAAGACCCGGCCCCACCCCCTTAAAATCAGGGGGGAGATGATTAGATTAGAAAGGAAAAAAGAAAAAAGACAACCGTAAGATGAAGTGGGAGCACGGATGGGAGCATGGGGAGGGAGCAGGCAAGCCGAATCCTGCATGAGGAGCACCAAGTATCTTGGCTCATGAACTTTGTGGAAAAGCACTACTAATTTTTAACTGTTGCTGATTTGTGGAAAGTCTTTTCTATGGTGATCTGACTGTAAACACATGTATATTTTTCTGCTGTTATACTTGGATGAAATTTCTAAGTTGCAAGTGTAAGGTGGCCTCTCCACTATTAAACCACGTGTCACAATCCTAGCAAGTGTAAGGTCTCTTATCTCTTTGTGTCATGACTTCTAGTCATTTGGCATGGAATTTACGGTGTTCCCTGTTGATTTTGGAACATGGACAATTCCGATGTTATGTCCTGAAGCTTTCTATCCTTACCAGTTGCTGATAACAACTGATGATGTGCAATGACTCAGCGTGATTCCATTTTCTCTTAGACTGAAAGAATGAATTTTTTGTTGCTATTTTTTTTGGTATACACGGACTCTGTTTTGCAGCTATGTGCGCTAACTGTGATGTGAAGTTGCTCCCTTTTTTGCTGCATTTCTTATTAGATGGCTTCACGCATAAATCTCTAGATTAACATGTACTCCCTCCGTTCCAAATTACTCGTCGTGGTTTTAGTTTAAATTTGGACTAAAACCACGACGAGTAATTTGGAACGGAGGGAGTATTTTGCATTGGCATTACAAATAAATAAATAGCCAGACTAATTCCGTGAGAAACTGTACATAACCATGGCGACGGCGTGGAAGTGGAATAAAGTGAGTCGGGAACCAAAATCATAGATCAAATCACAACGGGGTTGTTTTCTATCAAATGTTCAGTTTTTCCCCCTCGCCCACAATGGTGTCTAGGATTTACTAGTGAATCTGAGTTCCGGGGAATTCCTCCTCCCTCGCATGGCGTGAGTTTATAAATAAAACCACGCGGCAGTATCAAGCATAGGCATATAGAAAGGTAGCAAACAACCAACAAGTTTAAACGCTGCACCACCAACAAGGATTACAGTCATAACAACACACATGGCACGCATGCCAGCAACCTATGCACTAAAAGGGACAGCAAGAAGACTCCAGAGAAGCATCCGCTAGACGAAGGGACCCTCTCCCGGCTGATGAGATCCGACGTTGTCGCCTTCATGCAAGAGATCAGGAGCTCCATCGCCTCAATGTCAACATCTTTAACCAGCGGCTTCCATTGCTGTAAAAGTTTAAGCAATTTATAAATGCAATCAGCATGCTTTTTAGGGAAGCAAAAGATCCTACCCATTTGACCAGACAAAGACTTAGCCAAATCAGAGCAGTACCGACCGTAGGAGCCCCTCTTGGTCGTTGTTGTGTCCAGAAAGAAAAATTATTTGGGTGAAGTTATCGAAGAGTAGGA